AAAAAGATAAAAGCAATGATTTGGCCGGTGGCAGTTATTAACTGCAGCAGTGCCTTTCAAGGGAAGGTGAAAGACTGGAGTTCTCTTTAAGAGGCAGGGGTGGGCGTGAAGGGGTCTGCTCGGGCCCACTTCCAGAGGCCTGGTGCGCACCTGTGCCTCCCAGAAAGGATCATCGATTGCGCGGACCACACAGGCAATCTGTTCTCCCTGCTGGAGGAAATACAGGTGAAATCCCTTCCAAACTCCCCGCCAAGAACAATGCTCTGCTCTCTGCTTTGAATAGAGAAGACTGTCCCTAAAATGGGGGGGGGGGAATCACCTGGGAAGAAAAATCTAACAAGAGAGAGTCTCCAAGAGGCAGTGAGCATGGAAGGATCTACCATAAACCAAAAGGCCAAGGGGGAGAAAAAGAAAGAAAAGCATCCAAGATGCCCGTCCCTTAAGAAGTGCTGAGATCTCATGACAGGGTTGCTCTGGCTGTGTAATCACAACTCAAACTTGCCTTAAACCTCCTCCTTCTCGGTAGGTTCTGTCTTTCGGCAAATTTGCAGGCAGCCCTGATATTGCTTCACCTGGCTGAAGTGTGAATGGAAGAGAATCGGACTTGTGTAGAAGACACGGATTGTGTCCCCAAAGCACTGGTCCCTGGCTATGCCGCTTTAGAAGCTAAAGTGCAGACTCCTGGTTGATGTCTTGTGGGGTTCCTCTATTTATCACTTTAATCTGTAAAATGGGGACAATGGGAACTGTCTTTAATCAGGAGTTCTTTAGTAACCAGGGAGACAAATGTCCTCGAATTAGCCCAGGCGAGGGGAGGCGACCGCCAGAATAAGAAAGGTCAATGTCACAGACTCTGGAAGTGCAGTCCGGGCTGGGGCCTGATGGTGGTGGCGGGGACCTGAGGCAGAACAGGGGTGCCCAGGACCTGGTTCCCCTCCCACGTGGGTCCACGTTCTCTCTGCTTTTACTTCTCTATTTACATGTGGCCCACCCTGGTCCCCCCAGAAGCCCTCTCTGTTCCCGAATCTGTGTCAAGGATCAGAGGTAACAGGGACGCTGGTGGCATCAGCTGGGATCCTGGGCTCTCTCTCATCATCCGTGGTTGGTGGGGAAGAAGGGGACCCGATGGTGAAGGGCAATCTTTTGGACAGGAAGAGAGAGGGTGATTTCTAAAAAAGAAGTAGGCATGGAAAGCAGGAAGTGGGCAGTTTGGCAGAAGACATGATGGGCTTTGCTAACCTCACCTTTTACCTAACAAGGGTCTTGTAAAGATCAAGTGGCATCTGAAACACACACAAAAGCATTTTCTAATCTGTACGATGCTGTGTGACTGGAAGGTGGTGGACACCTTATGCAGAACTCTCCAAGGTTTAACATCTGCGCTACCCAAAAGGAAACCATTAACCTGTTGACTCAGGCTGTTGACTCAGGATGACACAGCTGGGCAAACGTGTGATGGATTAATGGAGACAAATCCAGAATAGAATCCACAGGAATTAGGTGCTGTTCTAAGACAGACAGACAAAGAAAGAAAACTGAAATCAGCAGGCTCCAAAAGCCACAACTGAGTTACAAGTGGAATACCCATTTAAATACCACGAGTCTCCCCAGCTTGTCTGTAAGGGTCCCTGATATAAAGGCTGCAGCAGAGGGATTTGTACTGCAGAGATGCCAACGTTAAATTGTATCAGTGTGTCAGTCTGTCCTCTGAGTGAATATTTGCGTTTATATTCCTCTATGCATTCATAAGCTCCATTCTTCAAAATGTATTCAGGGAATATAATTTAAATAAATGATAATGATAAAAGCCGAAGCCAATGTTTATTAACATAATGATCAATGAATTTGTTCATTGCAGTATTTGTATCATTAGCAAGTTACGTCCTTGTACCCTTCTGTGTTTGTGTATGATCTTCTTGCTTTCAGATGCTCATATGGTGTATCAATCAGCTGACTCTTGCCAATAGTGAAGCAAGAAAACATATCTCCAGCTTTCCCAGCTTCCCTTACATACATCATGTTTTCTTCTCTTTGCAAGGATCTGCTGCCTTTATTTATTTTTAAGAAAAGTAGTATCATGTTCTCAATTAATCTCTATCCTCAATTAATGTGGGTTATTAGCCATTTACACCTTAGTGTGAATTTCACCCGCAGCGGCTCCTCTCCCAGGGGTATTTGCATGTGAACTTTTGGACGGTACCACAAGCTCTCTTGTTTATTAAAACAACTAGATCTGAATTTCTTTCTGCTTTTCTTCTTAAGGAGGAAACGATCCTCCTTCTATTGCTTTCTACCTTGACCCACATTGAGGTCATCGGCTAGTGTCCTGGATGTACCCACAGAGGCAGACAGAGCAGTACGAGGCATGGACACACAGCCAGCTGTGTGACAGTCCCAGAAAGTTAGGCAGACAGTACGGGATGGGTTCCTGGGGAGGGAGCATTATATGCATAGCACGCCACTAATAAGCCAAAGGAGTATTTCAGGGTCAAAAAGTGAGTACCCAGGGCTACCCCGTAACAAATGCTGATGCAAAGGACCGTGGATAAGTGTAAATCTACAAACGACCGCACATACAGGGCTTGCTCCCGCAAAATTACTACCTCGTGATTTCCCAGCCGCTGCCTGACAATGCACCGCATCAATAACCAGAGAAAGGAACGGCTGCTCCGGCAGCTGGGAAACCATCACATTTGTTTTATAGTCTTTGCTTTGGAAGCAACTTTTTCTTTGGAAACGCGTTGTGTCTACGCTGCTACCTATAGAGTCGTAGATGCAGATACGTGTTCTATAAACCACAGAGGAAGCCGTTAGAAGCGCATTCCTTCAATCCCAGCACCCAGGTTAAAATAAAGATTTTGGAAACTTATGTTGGATATTTCGCTGCACACATATGAGTGGTTTCTAAAATAGATGAGAAGCTCTAAATAATTCAAAGTGGCATCTTTTACTATTTTAAGACACAACATATTTTAGCATAACTTAAGTTGAATGAGTACAACAAATAAACTATTGATGTTTCTCCATAAAAATATTAATTATAGACCATCAAGGACAGCATAGGTTTGTACTTAAAGTTACAGCTTTTGTGGCCCCTGACTGTGAAAAGTTAGGACGAGGGCAGCACCCATCTAATTCCCACAGGTATTTTTGCTGTTTTGCATCTATAAAATGTATATTCTGTTCTACAACTGTAATTCCTATGTTGATGAGTCACAGCTTTATAGTTAAATGATTCATCGGTCAGTACCAGTCACTTGACCATGTTTTCTTTCTCTTTTTTTTTCATTCATCTTATTATTTAGACTGTATTATTTGTGTTTACAAAGATGCTATATGCTTGACATAACCTAACTTGCCCAAATTCACTGCGTATGAAATTCACCAGTCATATTTCTCTACAAAACTTTCTTTAAACAATTTTGGAAGGCTGTTGCTTCTTGTTACAGTTGGTGTAGGTCTCTCAGTGCCATGAAACTCCTTCTAGAAAAGGCTGCTTCCTCTAGACACTTAAAACTACTGTATTGTTTCTTTCTTTGCTCTTAGATTCTGCTCTAGACTTCCTGGAACGAGGCTGCCTGAATCACAGTTATTTTGGGGATGTGGCCAGTTCCCCAGGTAACGGTTTTGAATCGACATTATTTTCAGCATTATTGGTTGTTTTCAGTGATTTTTTTTATAAAAGAGGAACAAATTAAAAGTTTTGATAGTTTGACCTGTTTGAGCAAAACTTTTGATAGTTTATAGTAACTCACCAACTCTCTCATGCCCATAATCTGATGAGTATCAAGTATATAAACAGAGCAGCTAATTAGTATTTCTTTGAAATCAAAACTGCATATATTTTTAAACAAAGGTAAACATCTCTTTCAGTATTTTTTTTTTTTACTGAAGGTCCCTTCATGCTTCTGTGAACCCTCTGTCTATATAAACCTAAACACAATATTATATCTTTATCTTACTCATTTTCCCCTCCCCTTTTGTCTTTCTGAATCTTTCTGCTAAATCTCTCTTTCCTGATACTAGTTTTTCTTTTTCCCCCTCTTCTATCACCTTTCCTCCTTATTTTTGCTTTTCTTCTATTCTCCTTTCTCACCTTTGTTTATGTTTTCATCCTCCCTCCTGTCCTCTACCCCCTGTCTTCCCCTCTTTCTTCCCACCTTTCTATATTTATTCACTTTTATTTCTCCTGAACTGGCTGTGATTTGAGTTTAGCATTCCCTGTTGCACTGAATAAAAATTATGGTCTTTGTTGGTTGATCCATATTTATCCAGAAATATATTGTCTTTCCTTTTAAGCTGCTGTTCATTGACATTTGTATCCATGTTCCTTTAAAACAAGAGTTTTAAGTTTCTGTCCTTAATCACCTACTTGTGCTCTCTGAGGACTGCAGTCTACTTTGAAATTAGCATTTACTAATTAAGACCAGGACTTTAAAGCCAAAAACTCAAATTTCAGTTGCCAATGCATAACTATTTTTTCCCAAAGATTTAATACCAAAGTTAAAGTCTGTGTCCTGGGGTAGAAATTGTAAAGGGTCACAATACTTTATGCTGCATTTTCCATGGCAACTAAGTTGTATATAAATTAAGAGAAAAAAGCAATGGGTACAAAGTATTCTTTTGCAGGCACTGTCCATATATTTGAAATCAATACATTTTACCTTCTTTCTAAATGATTTTCTGATTAATAAGAATTTCCTTAACTCAGAACGTCTATGCTATTTTGAATCCATTATCACATACGACTCCAAAAACTTCTCCTCTTTAATCTATCATTTCTTACTTTCTGCCCAAATTGTTACTCCCCAACTGTGGCTGCAAAAAAAAAAATGGGTTATAACAGTATTTAGGAATCTGTCAACAGAAGCCGGAAGAATGATGTAAGGAGCCCGCTAGAGAGGCTGCTGTGCAGTAAGGTATGTTTTAAGATCACAACTGTGAGTATAACAATTCTTATTGAATGCATTTGCCCACGCAGTGAAGAAAAGTCTCCTCACCCCCTCGCTTGTTGATCTTGGCGTAGCCCGGAGAATAGCTCGCAGACATGGAGGAAGAGCTGCTGAAAGCTCCATGTGGGAGTCCGGCCACCAGGGGTTCATCGCATTTTTCTGAAAGAAAGAAGACAGGAGGCGGAGAACTTCAGTAAAACTTCTAAATGCCGATGGGTGGGTTTTTGTTAAAATCACACTGGCTACAGCTCAAACTTAAAAGTGATGACAATTACGCAAAGGAAGGGTCAGAAGGTGGGCAACTCGGAGATCGTTCTAATAAATCACAGGACCAGTTTATAGGGAGTGGTCATTGTGACAGAGTGTGTCCTTCCCGGGGACCTCCATTCAGACCTGCTTGCTCGGGGTCACGGGCAAAGTCAAGGCTGGTTGTTGAACAGCCTTTGGAATCTGGCATCTACTGGCAATCCTCATTACAAGGGCCGAGGGTTAGAAACATTGAGCTTGGACGTGGGAAGAACAGGAAGGATCCTGCCCAAATTACGAGACAAAGAAACAAGTGTCAGGACAAAACACAGTAATCGTCACCCTGAAATGCACCCCGAAGCCAGCAGTCCCCATATTTGAATGGCCACCACCAGCTGAGCCTTCAGTTTTATTCCCCACTTGGCTCCTGTAGTGGCTTTAGTTTTTTTTTTGGTCTTCTCCCTCACTACCAACTTGTTCTCAAACTCCTATGACAGCGCTTTCCATTTTCCTTACATCTACAGGGTAAAGTCCGCAGGCCTCAACCCTTGCTTGGGGATCTCCTCCGTCCGCTCTCACGGGCTGAGAGATGGCATCCAAGCCTGAGTCTTCTCAGCCCGGAGCATCCCAAATGCTACCACCTGCATCACAGGACCACCAGCCCTCCTAAAGACCGCCCAGTCTGCCTGCTTCCTCCCTTGGCCCCTAGAGTCCTTCTGCACATTTAAACCAAGGGGACACTCTTAAAAATCTAAGGGACCCATGTGGCTCCTATGCTCCAAATATCCACTGGTTCTCACTCTCCATCCCTCAGAATAAAGTCGGCACCGGCTGTTTCTTGTTCCCGCTTCCTTGCCCATGACTGTCTGGCCACCGGGACCCCGTACCTTCCTTCACAATCACTGCCCCCTCCCTCCTCCCAGGCCCTGCTCAGCGCCGCCTTTCATCCCTGCAGACAAGCTTAGTAAGTCCACCGGTCAGAAAGAGCCTGCCGCCACCGTCACCCTCTGCAGCCACCACGGCAGCTGTCTTGCTTCCTGCGGAGCACCGAGTGCCACCTGGCATGTTACGATTCCACCCGTTCAATTGTTTACTTGACTAGAAGATCTATGGAAATCAGGTTTTTGATAGTTTGCTTGATGTTTACTCTCCAGCGATCTGAACAGCACAAGGCACTGGATACACGCTGTAAACACACATTCAGAATGAATGAATGAATGAATGAATGAATGAATGAATGAATGAATGAAAACAAGAACAAGTAACCTTAACTAACCTCACGGCCTGGCCACACTTTGCTCAGTTACAACCTGGCACCACACCTGGTATGTACAGAGATGGTCTGAAGTCCCCGACAAATGTTATTACATGTTCCGTCCTCTGTTCAGTGTCACCAAGGATTACGCTGAATATTCTAGAAGGGTTTCTGCCTCACATATTTAGAAACAAAAAATAAATTGCTTCAGCAGCCCTGGCTGGTGTGGCTCAATGGATTGAGCGCGGGCCCACGAATCAGAGGATCGCAGTTCGATTCCAAGTCAGGGCACATGCCTGGGTTGCAGGCCAGTTCCCAGCAGGGGACGCATGAGAGGCAACCATACATTGATGTTTTTCTCCCTCTCTCCTTCCCTTCCCCTCTAAAGATAAATAAATAAAATCTTTAAAAAAAATTCTTCAGCAATAGAAGGAATGATCTAGTTTTCTTGAAAAATCACTTGGGTGGAGTTAAGTCCCTAATGATCCTGAGGAAACGAGTTGCTGTTCGTGATCTCATCCCTGAAGTGTGTACAAATTTGAGGTGAAAATGAACAAATCTATCCTTGTAAAACATTGTTACATTTCTTATTTTTCTTCATTATACTGTAAGTGCCTCTAGAAAATATGGCGTGCGTGTATGAATATATTCCCCAGAAAGTTAAATGTAAAAGAATAAAAATATAGACATCAAAATCTCCTTGAAAAATATCGGAGCACCAAGCAGGTGTCTACAGTCAAGGAGTTCGCATTCATTGTTTTAAAAACTGTACTATTTAGTGTGGCTACCAGTAAGCCCAAATAAATACCACTGTGATTTCCTGTCTTCTGACTCTGTTGAGGTTCACTTTTTATAACCTTCTGTCGTAGTTCTGCCTTCCACCGGGGTCTTGTACGCCTGAAGCTCCCATCATATTCAGAATGTGCTCACATTCATTCATTCCCCTTTCGTTCATTCAAATGCCCACCAAGCACCCCTGCCACACAAGGCACAGGGAACTCAGCCATGGACAAAATGACAACAGCCCTGTCCTTGTGGCAGTTGACGTTTTAGTGGAAAGAAACACTACAGAGTAGAAGACGAATTTATTAAGAGGCGGTGAGAAATACTACAGACATTACTGGGAAAGAGGGTCAGGGAGCTTGGGGCCACGTGGAGGTGGGGGAAGTGGTGTTTTTTGCCGCCTGGTCGAGAAAAGCCTCTTTGATGAGGAGGTGACATCCAAGAAGAAATAGGAGGGGAACAAGGAGGGGCGCCCCGTTGGAAATCCACAGCCCAGTGCTGGGAGAAAACTTTCTCACTCCCAGCCTGCTCCAGAGGGTCACAGCAATGAATGAGGCATTTTCCAAAAAGTTAACATTCAAGGCGTACATATTGTAACACTGAAGGTGATCAAAATGAAGTTGATAATAACCGGTTAACGGGTCCATTAGCTAACTTAAGTTTAGAACGTACACAGAGCATTTATAAAAACTGAAGGTAGTTCATCCATGTAACATCTCCAAAAAATTGACTTCTGTGAGAAATTGATCATCTTTATATGACATTTTAAATTTGTCATTAATTTAAAGAAATCATATACTCAAGAATAACAAAATTAGGATAGAATTGAAATCAGGAAATACAAGAGCACATAAGAGATTATTTGAGTTTTTTGTAAAAGGTGGTTATAAAATTATGATCAGAATTTAAGCACTGGAAATCTCATAATCTCCTAAATTTAGATGTCATTTATAAGAATATAATTATGAAAATGTTACATATTGGTACATTTTCTTGGAAGAATTCTAATTACAAACATTTATTGAGATTTTTATTCTATGCCTTGTACTGTTCTAAACGCTTTGGGAAACTAAACATCCCTATAAAGAGCTCACTTCCCCACAACAGGTGATAATATATGGCCCCACATAAAGTAATTAAACATGAAAAAACAAGAGCTAATGCCAAACAGTGTGTAATTCAGCGTGAGTATCACCAAATACTAAATGGAATAAAGAAATTCAAATGCAGGGCTGTTGTTTAGGTGAGTTGCTTGTTTGTCCTGCTCCATCAAAAAAGTGTAACCTTGACTATAGCAGTTAACCAACCCCCTTCCTCCACATGACCCACACGCAACATGAGAAAATCATCTGAAGTTTCCCTCAACCTCTAAAAATCAAGCATTGCCAGCCACCCGTGTCCACCATCTCCTACAGGTCAAATCTGGCCCCCGGCTTGCTTTTGTAAATAAAGTTTTATTAGAGGGCAGCCATGCTCACTCATTCACATATTGTCTATCGTTGCTTCCGCACAACACAGAAGTGTCACAAAAGAGACTTCATGGCTTCCAAAACCAAAATATTTACTATCTGATCTTTCCTTTGAAAAAAAGTTTCCCAAACTCTGGTCCAGTATAAGAAAATATTCCAGGTATCCAGGAAAAAGAATGATTAATGATCTCTTGTGGGATCAGATATCATATAAATAATAATAGAAGCTAAAGAGTTGAAGAGGACTACAGAGGACTACAGATAGGTAGAGGATTAAGAATGCTCTAGAAAGAGGAAAGAGCTTAAGCAAAGTCACAGAGGCTCTAACAGGTATAAAATTTCCCAGAGAAGCTGTGGTAACAGTCCATGTAGAGACATACTGCCTTACTGACAATTACGATGCACTCTCCATTTTTATTTCTATCGGCAATAATCGTTATTACACATTACATGTTCCAAAGAGTCGGCTTGCTTCTTGTGTGGAAACATGTGTCTCTATATTCTGCAGACATGAAATACTAGGAAGTCAGGCAAACCCCTGCAGAAAGTTGCAGTTTTTATGAAGGAAAGAAAGAGAGAGAGAGAACGCAAACATGTGAAATAATTTAGCATTGTATTTCCCCATCCCGGATGTCTTCCAAAACTACAGCTACTCGGCTATGGCAAATATTTGGCCTCTAGTGGATTTTTCTTCTAGGGAATCTTGGATGAAAACTAAAGGAGCAGATGGGCCTCGAGTTTTATTTCCACACAATTGCAGTCACTCAGGAAGGCAGGCTGGCTGTAAGAATTCTGCAAGAATTCAGTAATGGCGGTTGCCCTTTACCCACAAGAGGTAGGGTCGCTACGAACAAGCGACATGGCAGGAGTTTGCAAGGTCAAACATCAGAACACATGTAATTGCCATTAGAGATGGCGTTCAAATGTATCTCTAAATAAAATAATGCCGATTTTCACAACAGAGTATCTTTTAAAATTATAACGCTAAAAATATGCTTTATATCACACATTTAGAAATATGAGCCTAATACAAAGAAAAGAATTAAGCACAGCAAAGTAATGCCTGAAGCAAACAGTGCTATCAGGACACAAGTTCCAGCAACATCTTCATCCATACTTCAGGGGAAAAGCTATCACAAAAGACATATTCTCAGAGCATTGCCTCACTTAATGGTCTCCTTGTGTCCTGGGCATTCAATTCCTAACTTTGGAAGCTGAAGCTACACCGCCTCAGGTTTTATGGCAATTTTCCTCCATAGTCAGGCCAAATTTAAGAGGTGAGACCTCCCTCTGAACTCTGTGGTTTCAATCAATGCTCCTTATGGCCAAAACGGTCTTGAATTACAGCTGAGTAGTTGGGCTACTTTCCTTCTCCGGCTCCCTAGTAGCAACTCAGGCCTTCCCAG